CGTGCCCCCTCCACCACCCCCACTGCCCCCACCACCCCCGCCACCTCCACCACCACCGCCACCTCCACCACCCCCACCACCACCACCACCACCACCCCCGCCACTGCCACTGCTAGCGCCCCCTACACCCCCACCGCCCCCACCCCTAGTACGCGCACCCTTGCCGCCGCGACGCCTCCCGCTAGGGGCAGACTCAGCACCAAACTCCTTAGCTCTAAGGAAGTCAACAGCAGCAGCAGAGGCAACAGCAGGCTTTAGGGTTTAGGGCTAGGAGGGAGGGGGAGCACCCCTCAAAGAAGGAGGGGAGGGGAGTGCCACGGGAGGCAGCTACAGCGTGGGCAATGGTCTCAGCCTCGAAGAGACGGGACTCAAACGAGGCAAGGGTGATCTCAGTGGGGTCTACGGAGAGAAAGTAGTCTTCAACGGTGCGCAGAGAGTCAGGGAGGCGAGTCGTGAGGAAGTAGAGCGTAAGATACATAGGGGGCTGGTTCGTAGTCAGAAACTCCGGTGGGAGAGCAGCACGGTAGCGCGTGTCAAGGGAGCGCAGGTGGGTAATGAGGTCGGCTACAGTGGCAAAGTCAGAAAGCTCAGGGAAGAGGAACGGCAGTGCTAGACGGCCTAAGGCAGCAGAAGAGGGGGAGGAGTAGCGCTTGACTATAGCGCCATAGAGCGCTTTGGCCGTCTTGAGCTGGCGGAAGTGGGGCCTCTGGTCTAGCAGGAGGTGGTTGCGGACAACAAGCTGGGCAGTGGTGTCGCGTGACAGCCACTGGGTAGAGGCAATGCGATTAGTCTTACACTGCTAACGCTCAGTATCGCTAGCAGACGGGCCAGGGACAGTAGGAGTGGGCGGGGCCTTAAGGGATCTGGACGTGTGCTCAAACAACGAGGCATTGTCCTTGGTAATGCTCTACAGGTACGGGTGAAGGTCCTCTAGCCAGGACTCATACTCTATTGGGTGGCCCTCCGCGTCAAAAGTCAGCACAGTACAAGTTGCCATGGTAGGCAGTGGCCCTCTGTGGCGGTAGCGCACAGGCGGCAGCAGCGACGGCGCAGCGTGCGAGTAGCAGTGATGGCAGTGGCGGCGGCGGCTGTAGTGGCAGCGGCGGCGGCAGTAGCGGTAGCAGCAGCGGCAGTTGCAGCGGCAGCAGCGGTGGTAGCGGCAGTGGCGGCTATAGCGGCAGCAGCAGCTGGAGCAGCGGCGGCTGTAGCGACGGCGGCTGCGGCAGAGGCTGCGGCTGCAGCTACTGTAGCGGCACTTGCGGCAGTAGCGGCAGTAGCGGCAGCTGCAGCAGCTTTAGCGGCAGTGGCGGGTGGTGCGGCTGCGGCAAGGGCGGCGGCGGCAGCTGTAGTGGCAGCAGCGACAGCTGCAGTGGCGGCTGCACTGGCGGCTGTAGCGGCGGCTGCAGCGACGGTTGCACTAAGGGGGCAGGGCGGCTGTAGCGGCGGCTGCAGCGGCGGCTGTAGCAGGGGCTGTAGCAGCGGCTACAGCGGTAGTAGCGGAGGCTGCAGTGGCGGTAGGGGCGGCTGTAGCGATGGCTGCAGCAACGGTAGCGCAAAGGGGCAGGGCGGCTGCAGGGGCAACTGCAGCGGCGGTTGCTGTGGCTGCTGTAGCGGCGGCTGTAGCAGTGGCTGCCGCGGCGGTAGCGTGAAGGGGCAGGGCGCCGCGAAGGCGCGGGGCCGGGTTGCGCGAACGGGCGGGGCAGGGCGGCGCGAAGGCGCGGGGCAGGGCGGTGCAAACGCGCGGGGCAGGGCAGCATGCGGCGCACGGGCAGCGGCAGCGCGCAGGGCAGCGCGAAGGGCGGGCGTGGGGCAGCGCAAGGGGCAAGGGGCGCGCGCGGGGCAGTGCAAGGGGCGCGCGCGGGGCAGCACAAGGGGCGCGCGCGAGGCAGCACGAACGGTGCACGCAGGGCGGTGCTAAGGGCGCGCGCGAGGCAGCAAAGGGGCGCGCGCGGGGCAGCACAAGGGGCGCGCACAGGGCAGCGGTAACAGCGTGTGTAGGGCAGCGCGTGGGGCAAACCTAACCTAGGTACGGCAGGAACTGCAGTAGGTACGGCAGGACCTAGCCTAGCCTCTCATACCATGTCAAGAACTGTTCATTGAGGAGGGGTAGTCTGCTTTGTAAACACTGGTATCTAAAGGAAAATTGTTATCTAACCATAATACAGTCAGCGGTATTTATAGAAGGAACATTTGTAACAAGTAAATAGGCTAGGAAAAATCGCTCCTTAACCCTGATTGCAAGGGCATATGCTTTTTTCAGCCTTGCAGCGTAAAGGGCCGGATTTCGAGCTAGCCTTGCTATATGGTGGGTCATACATGCAAGCCCCTTAATGGTGGGCAAACCTAACCTAGGTACGGCAGGAACTGCAGTAGGTACGGCAGTACCTAGCCTAGCCTCTCATACCATGTCAAGAACTGTTAATTGAGGAGGGGTAGTCTGCTTTGTAAACACTGGTATTTAAAGGAAAATTGTTATCTAACCATAATACAGTCAGCGGTATTTATAGAAGGAACATTTGTAACAAGTAAATAGGCTAGGAAAAATCGCTCCTTAACCCTGATTGCAAGGGCATATGCTTTTTTCAGCCTTGCAGCGTAAAGGGCCGGATTTCGAGCCAGCCTTGCTATATGGTGGGTCATACATGCAAGCCCCTTAATTTTTCGGGTGCTTCCCAACCAATCGACAGCTTTGAAGTGAGCTTGTTTAATGAACTGAGTCAGTGGATCCCCATTCAGACAGTTTTGGAATAACCAATGGTTATTTACCATTCCCGAAGGTTGTGCCTTAGCGCATTGGTTCATAGCGAACCTGCGCACTATACCAGTATCGCGTTAGCTCGTATAGAGCACACAACGAAGGTCAATAGTCGGGAAAGTCAACGGTCACGGCTGTTGACCATCTCGCAACTATAATCGGAGGTTACGCATCGCAACGCAGTAACCGTAAAAGATCGCAATAGTCACTGCAACTATAGTGATGCATTCAAAACAGTTATATAAGGGGATGTACTTCTCAGAGTACATGGCTAGCTAGGAGAATGCTATATAAGCCATTTGTAATGCTATGTTTATCATCATGTTTCCTTTGCTTTTCTATAAACAATGTTATTCAAGACTTCCGCTGTCTTAGCTCTATTTGGCAAGGATTATCGTGTCCACTAAGATTCCTCAGTTACATCAACATGGTATGAGAGCCAGTGTGGACTATAAGACCTGCCAAATCCTCGTTCTTCCTAGAACAATTCATTATTGAATTATGCATTACAAGGTCTACATCATGTCTCCTGAAGGCAAAACTACGCCACACTCCCCGGGCCCACCACCAACATCTAATGTGCCATCTACGGTAACATCCGCCAGCGCAAATGTCGTTGAGCAGCTCATCGCACGCATCAGTGCCCTTGAGAACCACCAGACGATGAGCATCGACGGCTCAAGCCACGCCAGAGGATTCGCAGGACTTCCTCTTCCCGGCGAAGACCGACGATACAACTCTGAAAGGTCCTTCACCTTTGACAACCGTCAAGCTTCAGCACCTGCACAAGAAAATCAGCGTGCACAATCTGAGGTGTTAGCGTCTCTGCAAAACAAATTCCTCACGACATCAAAACTGAAGACATCAACGCTCTTTGACGGGAAGGACTTCTACACGTGGATCTTCGATTAAGAGCTCCTCGCGACAACTGCGCAATCTGGATTTACTACGACGGGACTCTCACCTTTCCATCCGAGGGCACCCTTCAAGAGAAGACCCTCTTCTACAACGAGTCCCTCCTCGCGTACACCGTGCGCATTCACAACCTCCCCCCCACCGAGCAGCTTGGCATTCGCTCCTTCAAAACGTAGTGGGGTCCCGCGCAAGCTTCTTGGGAGTACATGCGCAACATGTACATGGCGACAGATTCGGTTACAATGAGTCGTCTTCTCAATGAGTCGATTCAAGGGGAAAGGGCAGGACCATATATTAATCGCTGCAGAAACTTGTGCGATCGTTTAAGAAGTGTGGCGGTAACGTCCCTGGCGACATGTTTGTCACAATAGTCCTCTCTGGACTAGGACCGGAGTGGCGCCAATGCAAGTCGCTGCTCCGCGCTCAAGAAGCCATCTCCGAAGGTTCCCTCTGCGCCACAATCCTCGCCGACCAGCAGGAGATTGACCTGTACAACGAGAGAAGCGGCAAGAGAGACAAATTGGTGTTTTATGCCGGCGCATCTGACGGGGAGTCGCGAGAAATTGGGGCACACAATGGATCGCTGCTTCAAACTCAAAGCCGCCAACGAAAAACGCAACGAAGACTCACAAGGCTACCAGCATGGCAAGCATTGCCAACGAGCTGCTTGCTGTCAGAAATGAGGTGGTGGGTAAAGAGGAGCTTGGAGCTGCGGTCAAAGTGGATGAGCAAGTTCAAGCCTTGAAGAGTGTGCGTACCTCGATGATGAAAAGTCATTTGGATCTCATTCAAGGGTCCCTGCGAGACAACAATTCTTCTGGAGATTTCTCCGCTGCTTCGCTAAAGCTTGACAGCAGCAATTGGCATCGTAGAAACCCAGATGTATCACTATTATGTCATGTACTTGTTCAGGGAAAAAATGTTTCTGTACAAGGCTGAAGACGTTTCAAGCTGGTAGCATGCCATTGTAGACTGGCAAGGGTTATATTATGCAGTAATTAGCATAGCCGGAATAGGCAAAATAATAGACATGCACCCAGGTTTATGGATTTCCAATTTACCAACAACAAACTCTCTCAAATAGTATAATTTTCAGGAGAACGGTTAGGTAGATGCTAGGGATTATGAACACAACATGAAGGTGAGACTCACTATGCACGACGATTCACACCATAAGTGGGGTCTTATTGCTGGGAGATTACGGTATTCCAAATTTAATATAACCCCCCTCGAGTCCTACCATATTTTGGAGAACAATCTAGTAGACGCTAGAGAAGTTTAGCACAACATGACTTCGAGATTTGCTATGCACGATGATCCACACGATAAGTCACATGCGACCAGAACCAAATGAGCTGTACTCAATCCCTTGGAGTCCTGTATTGGAGGTCTCTTCATCCATGCTCTTAATCACTCGCAACTCCTCTGCCAAGTCATTCGGGAAAGACGTCCCGGTCCGCATCTCCTGCGCTAACAGATCCACCTTGATCGCTGAACTCAGCTCCTCCTTCCCCACCACCTCCTGCCTGATTCCCTGCAGCTCATTTGCAACGCCTGTCATGTTGGGCCGGCCTGCAGTGCGCTCCACGGTGCATCGCATAGCCAGCTGGGCCAGGCGCAGCACAGCATCATCCGGGGCGTCCATGCTCACGTCCTTGAGGGAGGCCAGGTTGCCGGAGGAGATTTGATCCTCCACCTGATGGGATGAATAAGGTGGGTGGGGATGGGGACAGGAAATGCTACTGTCAGCACGAAACACACTGAGGGTGGTTCTATGTCAGTAAGATACATCCTTGAGGCCGCTAGGTTTGTTGGAGGAGACGCATGTCTCCACATGCAGGATTGAGCAAACCAGAGGCTGCACACATGCATGGCATCATCAGGGGCGTCCACGCTGATGCCCTTGAGGCGATAGGGTTGTTAAGTGAGATACACCACTCCGCTTAACGGATAGAACAAGGTGGGTGGGGATGGAAGCAGTCGTGAGCAGCAGTGCCTGGTGGAGAGGGTTATTCTTGTCATTGCCATTGTGGCCGAACTGTGCACGGTAGTTGCACCAGTCGCACTTGCCATTGTGATGTCTCATATACTTGTGTGAAAGCAGCAACACCTGTGCATTGCCCTGCGCGGTCAGTCTAGTTGAGTATTTGAATCAACTACCATGTGGCCCTCGCCACAAAGTCTAGTTGCTGTCTGCTGTTGTGCACTCGCCACAAAGAAGGAGCATGTGGCCCCCCTCCTCACACCATCTGCAGAGCAATCTGACTAAGTAACATATAAAGAGAAATTTCATGGGCCATATTCAAAGCCGCAGCACTTACCCATCGCAGAATGTGCCCCTTCTTGTCACCGTCGGCAGAGCGAGGGCTGCGACCAGTGATCACCACAAGCATGAGCACACCAAAGCTGCACACACAGTGGAGGAGGGAAGGGAGAAAGGGGGAGGAAGAAAGGGGGGACGGGGGGGAAGGGTGAGGAGGAGAACCACGGCCGAGGGCTGCGGCCAGTGATCACCACAAGCATGAGCACACCGAGCTGCACACACGGAGAGGGAGGGCAACACAAAGAAGCGGGAAGAGGTGGGGGAGTGCAGGGGTTGAGGGGTGGGGGTGGGTGAGATGACAGTATCAAGGGTGGTGCTGTGCACTATTCGTTATGTGTTGGAAGGGGGCTGTTATTAGTGAGCACCACAACCATGAGCACACCGAAGCTGCACAAATGGAGGGAAGGGGAAGTGATCAAGAACAGCACACAGAGAAGCCACATCGTGAGTGCTCCCTCTATCAGCCTTATACAGTGAGGTTCACCCACTGAGGACCAAAAGCAAGTGTATACCGAAGCTGCACACAGAGGGAGGAAGAAGGATTAAGCGCAGCACAGAGGGCTTTCAGATTGTGAGTCTCCAATGTTCTCATGCAATGGGCTTCACCTGGTGAGCACCACGGGCATGAGCACAACGAAGCTGCACTGCACACATGGAGGACGAGAGATCAAAATATTCACATGTACTCCAGATTGTGAGCGCCCTCTCCATCAGACGTTATGGAGTGGGCTTCAGGGCTTCACCTGATGAGCACTGCGGGCATCAGCAAACCGACTGCACACAAACAGAGGGGAGGCGACTGAGAGCACTTTCTGTTATAATGTAGTGTGGCCAGCTTGGTTTTGTGACACGATGACCATGCACGAGCAAGTGCACACCGGAGCAGCAGAGAGGTGGATGTCTGGAGAGATGTTTGGTGCGTCGGACAAGGACGTACACAGGGATGTCACACAGGGATGTCAATTTCAGAAGGGTGGTTGCCTCACTGGCGGGCGAGGCAAACGTGCGAGAAAATAACCCAAAGCCAAAAAATAGCCAGCACATGGCATTGGAGTTCTAGAATTCCACCTTGCTGCTTTGTTCAACTCATCAACTTCAGATCCCTCACCTGCTCATAATCGTATACAACCCGTTCAGAATGCTAACTCACCAATTTAGAATGCCAAACCAATCGTTAACAACAGTCACTCACCCAAGCACGAAGGGTCTGTGGTAGTGGTTGCCTTCAACGATTTGTGAGGCGGCTCAAAACAGCTCACCTATAGACATCGGTGGCAGTGGTGGCCTTGGACGTGCGGGAATAGATGGGATCCACATAGCCTGGTGTTCCCATCACCCGAGTCGTGCCCACAGTGGTGCCCTCGCCCATTTTCAACAGCCCAAAGTCAGCGATTTCGGCCTGTCGGATGGTATGATGATTGAATTAGGGTCGATATGTGTGATAGGGAAGAGAATGGACCAGGACTTATTCTTGCTTTGAGCTTGTCATTTTTTAAGGAGAGAATGAATGATGTGTGTAAGCAATTTAAAGATCGGAAAGTAATGAGGTCACGCTGGGGTGATCCATGGGGAAGAAGAGTCCTTGGCGAAGACGCATGGAGAATTGTGTCTGCATTGATGCCATGGCACAGTGGTAACGCCTGCCGCTGTTTAACAAATGGTACCAGAGCCCGAGACATTGTGGTTCAAATCCCTATTGCGCACAGAAAAAAAAAAAAAAAAAAAAAAACGTACTCATGGCGGGTTTGAAACCCTATTGTGGTTCACATCCCTATTGCGGTATCCCTCTGCTTGCCTGCATCTTTTCTCCGAGAAGGATGTTGGCGGGTTTGATGTCGCGGTGCACAAGGCCAAAGCTGTGGAGGTACTCAAAGCCACGTGCCGCACCAATGAGGATGTCCAGCCGCTGCTGGAAAGAGAGAGTAAAGGACGCCTCTGCACAGATGAATAGAACGTGAGAGAGACAGAACATGAGTCACACAAGTAGGAGCGACATAATAGGGGTAGTGACACAGCATGTGCAATACTCTCTTTATAAGAAAGGTGGAAACGAAGTTAAAACAATGGTAGGTTTTTTTTTTTTTTTTTTTTTTTTTTTTCAGGGGTGGTGATGCTCGAGGTGGGCCCAAGGAAAGAGTACGTGGAGGTGGTAGATAAACTAGACAAGGTCATTGTTGGATTGGAACTTGGAAACAAACTTACGCTTTTTAAGAAATTGGTCAAGGTCACCATTGGGAACAAACTCGTAGATCAGGATCTGCTCTGGCCGCGTTTTCATGTCCCCTCCGACAGCATACCCAAGCAGCCGCACGATGTTGGGATGGTTTTTGTCGGCCATTTGTTGCACCTGCGAGGAAAATGGCAGAAATAAGTGTCAATGACATGGTTCTTACACGGCACACTGCCATGGAAGAATGAATTTTAGACAGCTCTAAAGGCATGCCATGCATCAAGAGGCATAGTCAAAATGGATAAAAGAACGGATCTTCAACAAAAATCCAGCCATTATGGCACCCCACCTCTCACTGCAAATCCACGTCAATCGGTTTGGCCTCTTCTTGAAAAGTCTCAAAGTTGACCACCAGAGGTGAGTCACTCACTCACCTCTCTCTGGAAATCCACATCGATCAGTTTGGCTCGCTTGACTGCCCATGGGGTGACGCCATCGTGTGGACACACGCCCTTGTACACGTCACCAAAGGCACCCGAGCCAAGCTGGTTCTCAGGGTTCCAGTTCTTGGTGGCTTTAAGAACTTCCTCTAAAGAGTACTCCGTGCATTGAGCGCCTGTCATGCTGGCAGCCCGGCCTGTAAAGGTACGGATGGAAGGGGTGTGGAGTGGTAGTGAGGGGTGCAAGCAAGGCACCCGAGGCAAGCTGGTTGTTAGAGGACCAGTTTTTGGTGGGCCCATGACTTCCTTCAGGGAGTACTCTTCATAGTGAGCACATGTCATGCTAGCAGCCGGGCCTGTAAAGGTTTGGATGGGAAGAGGAGTGGTAGTGTGAGGTGCAAGGCACCCTAGCCAAGCTGGTTATTTCTAAACCAGTTGCTGGTTGCTTCAAAGGGCTCGGGGAGCGGCAGACATGTTGCCTGCTCAGCCTGTGAACTTGGGGCCAAGCAATAAGGGTTAGGGATGAAAGTGTGGATGAAAAGAGTACACGTGAGGGGTGAAGATATGGCGTCACACTTGGTGGAGCGAGAGGGTGGTATGCTGTCTGCCAGGCCTGAGAAGACCTGGAAGGGGTGTGGGGTGAAGGTAGTGAGGGGCATGTGGGGTGAAACGGGAATGTGTGGGGTGAATAGGACGAGGGCAAAACTGTTGCACACGGATTGTGCAGGGAATGCAAAGTCACTCAGACGGAGCGCCACTCAGAAAAGACGACGAAGATATCAGAGGAACAAGAACGTGCCAGCTGCTCCCTCTATTACTTCTGAGAACTCTAGAGATCCCGCTAGTGCATTTAGCTCTAGAAATACAAGTACATGCTTATACGATCATCCCTCTTTCCCCAAGATTCCTCTTTCCGCATCCCATCTGCCTCCTCGTGTGCCATGCCTGTGCCCAATCATTGAGATGTTCAAATAACGAAATGCGTTCTTATTTGCTGCCAAGCTCGCTCGTTCTGCTAAGCTCTATCGCTGCACCTGTACTGTGCTGTGCTGCACCTGTACTGTACTGCACCATCTCTTGCACATACCTGCTGAACGTGCTGACCGTCTCTTGTGGCCTCTCCACCACAGCAGCACACCAATCAGCAGCACCAGAATCAAAACCCCCACAGCCACAGCAATGCCGGCAATGACTCCCACAGACAGACCGCCTCCAGACTGGGAGGCAGGGGCTTCAGGCGAGAGAGGGGGTGTTGAAGAGGAGGAGGAAGTGTTCGCAGTGGGGGGAGCTGCAGACACGGAGGGGGATGCCGGAGCGGCAGAGGGGGGGGGGGGGGGGGGGGGGGGGGGGGGGGAGTGGAGGAGCGTGTGAGAGGAGTGGATGGAGATGGGGACGGAGCAGGATGGAGACAGCATGTGTTGCACGGGAAGCATGACGGCGCATGACAGAATGGTGAGGTTGCGCATTGTGATGGATTGCATGGAAAGCACGCCAGGGATGTGGCATGCCAGGGATGTGGCACAGACAGAAGGGATAGTAAGTTCATGTAGGTAGCCCAGAGATTTAGCAGGGATGTGAATTATGTATAACGGCCGTATTGCTCATGCTTCCTGTGTTGGCATGCGGGCTTGATGCACAGGGAAGGATGCGGGCAAGGTGGACAGGGTCACTGAGTGGGAAAACACTGGTACACAAAAACTGATGCTTGAAGCAAGAGAGACAGAACTGAGGTTCGATACTTGTTTTCAACTTGCTTCTTGTTAGTTTGTTTTTTTTTTGGCTCACGTGGTGCTGTCTTGTTGCAGGTGGAGCAGAAGGAAGGGCACTGGGTGCAGAAAGCGCTTTTGGGATTTTGCTGAACCACACAAGGACTCCTGTTAGGCGGGCATGTGGACTCCGTTCCATTCAGATTCCTGCACGCGCGGAAGGAAGAGTTGAATTGGTTTTTTGAAGGAGACAAATATCGATGCACAAGCAAAAAGGGTGGTGGTTGGCTGTGTAATTAGACCGCAGCGAAGTGTTATGTGTGGTGCTTCTTGGAAGCACTAGCAGATGGAATCTGCATGCATTCGTCAAGGGGAAATAGAAGATGGTGGAATCGCTGGAAGCGCAAGAAGATTTTGGGAAACTTTGTGGATTTGCGTGACTCGTTTTCGGCACATCCGGGAAACAAACAAACCATCAATCAATCAGGATTGGACGAAGAATGTTACAATTGTTCAAGTTTGGAGAGTTTGCCCAGTGTTGGAGGGATCTGTCCTGTCATGTTCGTGTCTGCAAGTTCACTGCATGGGGGAGGCATTGTTCAACATACATAGTAGAATGCATCCATTGATGCACATAAGTTGCAGAGTTAAAACAATTCTGCAATGTCGTAAACACAAAACGTTTCTGCGAATGTGTAGAGCAGAACCAAAGCATTGTAAATCAGAAACTGTGTTTCCAAACACAGAGAGAAGTATGAGTAACTCAGCCGTGTTCAATCCTTTTGATTCTATGTTTTGAAGTCCAGGCAGAATGAATGTCGTGTGGAAAAGGATAACAGGAGAAGGTTTGTCACCTCAGTAGAAAAGATGGGACTCATATCATAGGCAATGAGCGCAAGGCACTCTGACAATGGATGTGGCTCGGCTCAGAAGCTGTGCTCAGAAAGTTGTGAGTGAGATGAGATGCATGAGGCTGTGCTTGCACGGTTGTGTGAGTGAGATGAAACGCATGAGGCTGTGCCTGCACGGTTGTGAGTGAGATGAGATGCATGAGGCTGTGCTTGCACGGTTGTGAGTGGGATGAGATGCATGAGGATGTTGCCGCACTTACAACATTGCAAAGTGCACGAGTTACCAGCGGACTCAGAAATGCTGCATCTTCAATGGCATGCCTGGCAGTAGGGTTGAGCAAAGGGCGAACACGAACATGTTCGCGTTCGCCCTTGCACGAACATGGCCGTTAGGCGAACCGAACACTGTTCGGTTCGCCGAACGA